TAGAGGTCTGCGCACACCACCGGGAATACTGGGATAGAGCAGGAATAGCTTAGACCGGCTACTGTTTACCGAGTAAGTCTTTGTTCCTGGCACTATAGTGTCAGAGAGGTTAAGTACCTTGTCCGACACTGGACAGCTAGAGACAAAGAAGAAACAAGATTTGAACCAAGGTGGCCACGCTGCCTTCCCTATAAATGGCAATAAAATGTATGTTACTCAAGGGGCGCCTGGGTGGCTCAGCTGGTTAAGTGTCGGTTAAGTGTCCACCCCTTGGTTTCCGCTCAGGTCATGATCTCACAGTTCCTGAGTTCGAGCCCGCATGGGGCTCTGCGCTGACAGCGCCAGGCCTGCTTGGGACTGTCTCCCCGGCTCTGCCCCTCCCTGGTTTGTTCTCTCCAAAGTAAATAAGATTAAAAAAAAAAAAAAAAAGTATGTTACTCAAAGGACTTGCGAGATAAAGTGTAAATTTCAGAGGCTGGATTAGCCCAACCTCCTTTAGCTGCAGAGAAGAGGCTCACCCTGGCTCCCCTTCTGACAAGTGGCAAAGATGTGGGCCTGGCCTGGGAAGATGCCAGAAAGCCTGCCCCTCCTCCTTCCCTCTCTCCCTCGGGGTTCGGCTCCCTCTGCCTTGGGGTGACCTGGCCTCTTGGCAGGTATCTTATCTTCTCTCATTTGGGTTCCACTGCTGCTGACTCACCTATGACCTGGGGACATTGTTTCACTGCCGCACTGCAAGCCAGCTCAGTCTCCACACATTTCCCGAACAGGTGCTGGAGGGATGGGGCGCGGAGTCATGCCAGGCTTACATCACTGTTCACGCCCAAGACTCGATTACATCAGCGCTCGCGCCCTAGCACCGCCCCCCCCCGCCCCCTCGGTTGGCTGCCGTGTGTCACGTGACTTCCGATAGGTCCCGGGAAATCGCGTAATCTTCCTCAAACAAATCAGCTTCCCAGTCGGTGTGCCCGGTGCTCGTCAGTTAAATGAATCAGCATGACTTTGCAATTAAAGAAATGTTGAGAGATTTCCAGCATATTTCAGCTAGTTCACTCCCGGTACCCCTCAGCCGCTTTCTAGTTGCCGATGCGCCGTGTTCATTTCCACAGAGCCCGGCGTGGTGCAGGCTCCGGGGCCCTCCCCAGGTGCAGAGTAAGGGACCAGTGTCACAGGCATGACCCCGGACTGAGAGTGCTGCGGCCACATGGGCCATTTCCTCCCATGCACACTGCACCTGACATGTCTCAATGGGTATCAACGCGGTTTAAATAAATACCCAGGATCTGTACCAGGAAATGCACGCACAGCGGTCAGGAGGAGTCCTGCCTGTTCCCGGCCCTAAGCCAGCGGTTCTCCGGGGCCAGCGCGCCACATGTGGTTAGAACGGGGACGGCTCAACCACCCCGCGGGTCTGATTCAGTCGGCCTGCATGGGACCCACAAGCTGCATTTCTACCACATTGGCAGGAGGTGTGGATGCTGCTTGTCCGGGGACCGTGCCCTGAGAAGCAGTGCTCTGGGCAGCGTAGCCTTGGGGGCTGACTACAAGAAGAAAGAGGGTGGTAGCTAGGGTTCCCCAACTCACCAGGAGTTCCGGGCTGGCCATGCTGAGCCTGAAGTGTGTGCAGAGCACAGAGCACAAGCAGATATGTCTGGTAGGTGGGTGAGCTGGGATGCCCTGCGGGCTGGGGCCATTGGCCAATCTGGGGAACAGCCAGGCAGCGGTGTGTGGAAGATTCTCGAAGAACGGTCAGTTGAGAAAAGGACAGAATCCCGAGAGGTGTGTGTCTGTGATGGAGAGAAAGAGACGGGTGGAGAACGCGAGTAGCACCCGTCTCTTTCTCCCTCCCAGCTCGCTCTCTCCTTCGCAGACTCACACCTGCCATCTGGCCTCACTACTCGGCCTTAATAGTGTTCACCTGAACTTTGACAGCACTTGCGGGGCCCGCATTTGTGCATTTGTCAGGCACCTACTTTTTGCAAGTTCTCGCACTCTGTGAGTCCATGGCCTAGTCTGGCCCTGCGGGTGTCCCTCGTGAAGGTCCTGTAGGTCCTGCGCCAGCCCTGGCATGCTCTCTAGAGGACAGGTGGGGGGAAGACAGTGGGCAGGTGAGGGAGACAGAGGCCAGGTAGGAGGACAGCGGACAGGTGGGGGGACAGGGGGGAGACTCTGGATGCTGTCCCTGAAGACCACCTTCACCGGCAGTACCTGTGTGAGAATCACCATTTATTGCAAACCTTGAGGCTTTTGTAAGAGCCCATGAGTGACAGAGACCCGAGGCCTGGGCCAGGGAGGGTGGTTATGAATCATGGAAACAGGCGCCCCCCCCCCCCCCCATCCTGGATCAGCTACAAGAGGTCCAGGAGCAGCACGTAAGCCCATGAGCGAGGGGTGGGGAGGGGGAGGCGCAGGCGTGTCTGGATTGACCTCACCAGCGCTGCACTGGGCTGTACCCGCTGAGCCTGGCTGCCTGGCAGGGCCGCACTGTCTCTAGGGGAGCCGCCTGAGGCCGGGCGGCCAGCTACCGGGTAGCTGTGTGATGCCTCACGGTGCCACCCCTCCTGCACGCTGAGCACCAGCTGAGCTGATCCCCACCCCTCCCCCAGGCTGGCCGAGGATCCCAGGTTTGGGAAGCACCTCCTGGTATATACAAATGAAAGCTAAGTGCCCATGCAGAATTGCCACATTCCGGGTGCATTTAAAAAAAAAAAAGTTTTTTTAACGTTTATTTATTTTTGAGACAGAGAGAGACATAGCATGAATGGGGGAGGGTCAGAGAGAGAGGGAGACACAGAATCTGGAACAGGCTCCAGGCTCTGGGCAGTCAGCACAGAGCCCGACGTGGGGCTCGAACTCACGGACCGCAAGATCGTGACCTGAGCCGAAGTCCGATGCTTAACCGACTGAGCCACCCAGGCGCCCCTCTGGGTGCATTTTCAACGTTTCCACTTAACAATACTTTTAACAAAGGTAGCAAAAAAAAAAAAAAAAAAGGCAAGAAGATTATGCCATTTGTGAGATAATGATAAAGTTTACCAAAAAGAGACTAACTCACAGTGGCTGGATCCAGAAAGGAGGCACGCTTCCAAAGGAGAAGGAAAGGTATTTTCTGTGGAGTTTCCCAGGTCATGTATGGACTTCCATGTCGACGCACATGTCCTTGGGTATCGCTCTCCCAAGGTGACACAGGGCCTGGGACGTGACTGGCTTCGGCCAATACGATGTTGAGAAGCCCTGTGTGCAGGGACCTGTCCCTGCCCCCCAAGACAGGAAAGGAAGTCTGGGGAGCCCGCAAGGCAGCACAGGCAGCCTGTCCCCCTAAACCTCGCAGGCCCCGCGGCCCCACCCACCCTTCCTCTGACTGCTGCTGCAGCAGGGACCCCAGGCGAGGCTGGCAGGAAAACGTCCTAGGGCCAGTCCTAATCAGTGGCTGGGCAAATCATGAGCCAATTAGATGGTGGTGCTCACTAGTCCCTATGTTGTGGCAGTGGGTCTTGCGACGCTCCCTTGGGAGACGAAGTTAAACTGAATTTGGCTCCCTTCCTGAATCCCTGCCCCCATGATACACCCTACTTATGCCCCCCCCCCACCTTTGTGAATTCCCGTTGGACGAAGGAATACGCCCTCTGAGGAATAAGAACCATGCAGTCAGACTGAGCCCTGCTGGCAGTGCAAATGGAAACCGTTGGGTAATTGGCTGGTCAGAGCCGAAGGAGCCACGGAATCCTGGAGAATGCCAGTGATGAGAGGCAGACACGAGGGGGCAGGTGCCAGCCGGCAGGAAGGAGGGCCAAGAAGAATCGGGTGGGGGGATGGTCAAGAGCAGGCCTGCGCCCTCTGGGACCAGCCAGCTGCCTCTGCGTCTGCTACCAGGCATATTCCGACTGGACGGCTTTGTTCACGGTGACCCAAGTGACTCATCTCTTCCCTGACCCCAACACAACAGGGGGAGGCAATCCGCTACGTTCTAACGAGATATGTGAAGGAATTTTTTTTTTTTTTTTTTAAGCAGCGTGCCCGAGAGTGTTTCTTGTGGTCCTGTTCATAGCAGCCAAAAAATTGGAACGGCCTCAACTGCCCAACCAGACGTGCCTGCGGAGGGGCAATTCATAGGGTGCCTGCCAGCCCCTGATGGATACTGAACTTGAACTCTCTGCTAGCACGTGGAAATGGACACACACGCACGTCGCAAGTAGGGGGGAGAGCAGAGGGCTGCATAAGTAGTCAACGTTCTAAGTATTTCTAAGTCTTCTTGTAAAAGCTTGGGAATAAAAGTAAACGTCACGTGAAGGACATGGGAGCTGTTTTCCCAATGTCACGGGGCACTGCTCCCTCTTTCTTTCTTTGGTGTTCAGTGTCCCCCCTTTATCCACGGGGGACGTGTCCCGGGGCCGCGGTCGGCAGCGAGTAACTGAAACCCTGGAGGAGGGGATGGGCGACTGTCCACCAAAGCGAAGTCCCTTCCTTCTCCATCTGTCTCTGAGCTGGCGAGGAAGGGCCCAGCTCCAAGCTCACTCTTGCAGGCAGCCCCCCATGGCCTTTCAAACGACCGATCGACCTAACAGGGTGGGGGTGGGGACAGTCTGCTCTGTCTCACGCAGGATGTGGAGAAGTACATTCCTTGGACACTGTCAGCTGCCTTCCTGGGCTATTGTTCTGAGTGTCATCTTCCGCTAGGAGGAGAGCAGCAGGGGCCGTAACAGGTCGGACCATCCTTGGGGCAGGAGAAGCACAGAGAATAATGGTCCCGGGGATGGGGGGCTGCTGTGAGGATCCCCACCATACACCGTACCTCACTTGGAGGCATTGTCCCCAACGTTTACTGGTGATAGTCCCCCGACACCACCCTGTGGCCATGGTGCCATTGCTTCCCCATGTTCCGGATGCGGGCGAGGGGCACCGTGAATATGGTACCAGAGCAAGGTGGCGCTCGCCGCAGGCATGGCTGGTCTACACGTCCCCGAGACGTCCGTGGCCAGCAGTCATAACAAACACACACCCTGGACGCTTTAGACACGTTATGTAATCAATGTCATGTGTGGTAGGTGGCCCCCGCCTTATGCTTCAGGACCCCGAGGCTCAGTGTAGTTGGATGACTTGCCCAAGGCCCGAGGCGAAGGAGAATTGTGCCAGATGGAACCCCAAAATCTATGAGCTTCACCATGATAGATATCCTCTCTCGGTGATTCTTCTGGAAGAATAATTGCCCTCCTTGTGACTGGAACGGACGCATCAGTCCTGGAGGAACCTAACTTGGGAGTTCGGTGCCAGCCCCAACTCTTGGGGGCTTGAGCGGGGGCCCCGAATAGGTGTCCTTCGCAGCTGGTGCGGGCATGTTGGCTCGAGTGTTGGAGAGATTCTTCGGGACATTCGATGAACGTGCCAGCCACGGATGTGGGTGACCAGATTCCTGAAAACGTTCCCCAAAGCAAAGTGTTGCTATTATCGTATGCACACACAGGTCTTTTTCAAACGCAGGACAAACAGCATAACAGGATGTCACGCACATCGCCCAAAACGCCCAAGCTCTGTTGCAGGCCAGCGTCCCCACCAGGCACTGGAGGGGAGGGTGACGGCTCAAGGTCTCGCTTGAGACCTGATGCCCCTGTTCTAGTCTCACCCAGCATTTGAAGGCTTCCTCCTGCGCCTTCCCCGCTCGGGAAGGCTACTCCTCCGGAAACGGTACAGCACGCGATGACATAGCTCTCCCTTGCTGGTGGATATCTGGGGTCGGCCACGGGCTCTGTGTGGGAGGCTGGCCCTGTGATGCTGTTCCTGTTTCTGGGTGCTTTCCATGAAGCACCCGAGTGGACAACTACATCACTTGTGGTGTGACAAGCCGCAAGGACAAACAAGAGTGTAACAGAGTAAACACTGATGACACGTAGCAGCTCTTGGGACTGAAGATGCCACAGGCCCGCATTCGCTCTGCTGCTCTACCTGGAGCCCACGAGGCAGCTGCCTCCTGGGCTGGCCACCCCGGGAAGCCAGGTAAGGCTGCCCGGGCAGGGGGGTGCCACACTCTCTTTCATAGCCCGTGTCCCTGAAATGAAGGAGACTCCATACCTAGACCCCCAGGGAGCTTCTTTCCTTCCTTCACTCACCTTTCTTCCATATTGGTTCCTATGCCGGCTCCTAGAGCATCACTCAGACAGGGGCCGGGATGGCTCTGATGACAAGATGCTGGGATAACTCTGGTTACGTGCCATGTCTGCGTTACTGACCCACGCAGGCTGCAAAGATAATAACACGTAATAAAATGGTGTTTGTGTTACATCGCTGAGTTTGGGGTCGTTTATGATGTTGCAATGGAACATGGAAACAGTACAGGGTGCCTGGGTGGCTCAGTCGGTTAAGTGTCTGACTCTTGGTTTCGGCTCAGGTCATGATCTCATGATTTGCCAGTTCGAACCCTGCATCGGGCTCTGGGCTGACCGTGCAGAGCCTGCTTGGGATTCTCTCTCTCCTCTTCCTCTCCCTCTGCCCTTCCTCTGCTCCTGCTCTCTCTCTCTCTCTCTGTCTCAAAATAAACAAATAAAGTTAAAAAAAAAAAAAAGGAATATTGGAGCAGCTGGATGGCTCAGTCGGTTAGAAATCTGACTCTTGATTTCAGCTCAGGTCATGATCTCACAGTTCGTGAGTGAGTTCGAACCCTGCATCAGGCTCTGTGCTGACAGTGCAGAGCCTGCTTGGGATTCTCCCTCTTTCTCTGCCCCTCCCCCCACTCGTGCTCTCTTTCTGTCTCTCTCAAAAATAAAAATAAAAATAGAAATTGAAACACTAATGACAGCATTAAGATATAAAAATTTACTAAAACCATCATATAAGGTAAGAATTTAAAAAAAAATACGTTTAAGTTTATTTATTTTTGAGAGAGAGAGAGAGGAAGAGAGAGCATGCACAAGCATGGGAGGGGCAGAGAGAGACAGGAAGACAGAGGATCTGAAGCGGGCTCTGAGCTGTGGCATAGAGCCCGAGACGGGGCTCAATCCCATGGACCATGAGATCATGACCTGAGCCCAAACTAAGAGTCAGACACTTAACCAACTGAGCCTCCAGGCACCCCAGAATTATTATCTTGACTTTATAGCCAAGGACATTGGGGTTAAGGAGACTGAGTCATTCTTTTTTTTTTTTGGTCCCAAACCACACAATGAGAAGCAATGTTAGAATTGGGGCTGGCCTGTCTGATTCCCAAGCACACGTTCTTGGCCAGAACAGGAGACAGAGCCCCCAGTTCTCCCTTTGCATGTCCCCCGAGGCAGTAGGACAGCTGTCTCAGTGGGTGACAATCCCGTCTCCTGATTGTCATAAACACGTGACTGTCAGAGTTGCTCTCAGGTAGCAGCTCCCAGCCACAGCCCTTGCTGACTGCGCTCCTGAACTCTCGGGTCCCTGCCTAGCAGGGAGTTCCTGGGGGTGCCTCTGATCCGGTCATCGACGGCTCCTTCTAGGGGTCTGTTGTGACCCCCCAAGTCCCCTTAAGGAAGCCTTTGTAAGAGGGCCACCGCCATCACCTGGACTTGTCCTGTGCTCACAGGTGGTCAGCATCTCATCAGTGTTTGTTAAGCGGACGTGGTGTCTGCGAACCCAGAGCAGACGCGGAAGCCACTGGAACTCTTAGTGCTCTCAGAGCTGCGTGATTTCCTGCCCTTATTCCTCCCCGCAGAAGCTGGGCCTTGTGGGGTCTTGTCCTAAGGGAAACCTGGGCGGGAGAGGTCTCCCGGAGGTGCCCGGGATGGACGGTCTGTGTAGACTCGCGTCCCAGTTCGAGCCACGGGGTGGGTGTCCTTGATGCAGAGACCTTGACCTCCTGACCCACTTCCTTCTGGACCGAAGCACTGTCTCATCCTCGCCCGAGCACTGGGTGCCTGCTCTGGGCGTTCCTCCCTGGCTGTACCTGGCAGCCACCTCCATCCACTTGCCCTGTGACAGACCCTCGGCTGTCACCTGATGCTCCATCTCCAGGAGGGTCACCGGCTTGCAAGGCTCCGACCTCATGTGGACTTTTCAGATATATGGCGTTTGCTCTGACCCGGACCCCCCTCTCCAGGGGTGGCTCCTCCCTTGCATATTTCTCTTCCTTCTTTCTTCCTTTTTTTTTGTTCTTTATTTGAGAGAGACAGAGACAGTGCGAGTGGGGGAGGGGCAGAGAGAGAAGGAGAGAGAGAATTGCGAGCAGGCTCCACCCCGCCAGCACAGAGCACAAAACAGCACAGCCTTTGAACTCGTGAATCCGTGAGGTCGTGACCTGAGCAGAAACCAAGAGCCAGACGTGTAAGTGATTGAGCCACCCGTCCTTTGCCTATTTCTGGGTCTGCCCATCCTGTGGGTGTGTCCGGTGTCCAGATGCGTCAGAATTCGCAAGCTAGCATCCCAGCCGCCTCCCCGAAACCCCTTCAAAGCAGGGGGATTTGACGGGGGGGGGGGGCTTAAAATCTCTAACTAAAATAGAGCACTTAATGTCTTCTTCCACACTGGATTCAGGGACACGTGCCCAACCAGAAATGACATCACATCTTCTGATCCTAAAACAAAGGACAACCCCTTCCGTAAAGATGCAGAAGTCCACAGTGTTGAAATCTAATCGCGGGATCTTGCACAAAAGAAATCCTATTTGGTCACACCCGTAAATAGCCGGTTACACGGAAAATAACACACTGACGAGAAACCACAGTGGAGCCGAGAGTGGGAGACGATGGGACTCGGGTCAGAGAAACGTGGCTTCGAATCCCAGCTCCCGTGGTTAAGTGACCTTGGGAAGTCACGGGGCGTTTCTGAGCCAGCCTCCTTGAATATGAGATTGAGACCATCACGTTCGCCTCCAAACAGGTTGATGGGATTAACTGTGACATGTACACAGAGTACCGTGTATGACGGGACTTTCGGCTATCACCTGCCAACAGTGAGGCACGTGCTGAAGAAATGGGACTGGTTGGGGCGCCTGGGTGGCTCAGTCAGTTGAGCGTCCGACTTTGGCTCAGGTCATGATCTTGCGATGCATGAGTTCGAGCCCCATGTCGGGCTCTGTGCTGACAGCCCTTAGCTCAGAGCCCGCTTCACATCCACTGCCTCCACTCCCTCTGCCCCCCGCCCCTCCTCCTGCCCCTCCTCTCCCCCCCAAAACAATAAATATAAAAAATAAAATAAAAAGAACTCGGCTCGTTTGGAGGGTGAAGGAGTGAAAGAAAGAGGGAGAAGAGATAGAACTAAAAGTAAGGAGAACAAAGGAAAAGAAACCTGTCCCAGATCGTCACCCCATCAGTCACCGTGTGTGCTAAATAACAACTGCTCTGGGTTATAAACTCTGCACATTATGGTGAAACAGACTTGTGGAGCAAGAGCACTGAGGGCCCCAGGATGGATGGGGCACTCGCTCCCCCGGCCTCCTCGCGCACGGGGTTTCTCGCCACCTCGAGCGCTGGCTGTGGGATCCCTCCAGTGCGTCCCCGGGATTAGCTGTTCTTTTTCTGTGTAGCCTCACAGGACGATGTGCAGGCAGATTAATCCTCTTAAAGAACGTATGCTAACTGCAGCAGCTTCTCAGTGTAGCGATTCAAACGTTAACTTTGCCATGCTGCCTTGAAAACAAGCCTTCGCTAGCTTTCGCGTGCACCGTGGAAGTTGTGCTCATACTAAATCTTCAGTCGCTCTCGATACGTTTTGCCCATTAAATAGTTTTGTTCTTATTTTGGATTCCCCTTTTAGCTCTGGAATGTTGTTTATTAAAACCATCAAGCGTGTTGGGCTTGGAAATATATTTCATTAAGTAGAGTTGGTATGCTATGAGTGGGTGATTAACTTCTAATTGAGTTTAAGGGCTGGCTTGACTATTTTTTAAGTGGCTGAAAAGGAGCCCATGGTTTAGAGGCATAACTGGGTTTGCGTACCTTGGGATTCAGAATTGCATGCACTCGGAATATATATATATATAAATATATATATATTTATATATATATATATAATGTTTGCTTATGTTTTGATGGAGAGCACAAACAGGGGAGGGGCAGAGAGTGACGGAGACAGAGGATATGAAACCAGCTCTGTGCTGATAGCAGCCAGCCCAATGCAGGGCTCGAACTCACCAGCTGAAAGATCATGAGCTGAGCCAAAGTCGGATGTTCAACCGACTGAGCCATCCAGGTGCCACAGGAAGCCACTGTTTTTTTAATGTTTATTTATTTTTGAAAGAGAGAGAGAGATAGGAGAGAGCACGAGCAGGGGACGGGCAGAGAGAGGGAGACACAGAATCCAAAGCAGGCTCCAGTCTCTGAGCTGTCAGCCCAGAGCCCGATGTGGTGCTGGAACCCACGAACTGTGAGATCATGATCTGAGCCAAAGTCGGATGTTCAACCGACTGAGCCATCCAGGAGCCCCAGGAAGCCACTTTTATTTAAAAAAAATTTTTTTTTCAACGTTTATTTATTTTTTGGGACAGAGAGAGACAGAGCATGAATGGGGGAGGGGCAGAGAGAGAGGGAGACACAGAATCGGAAACAGGCTCCAGGCTCTGAGCCATCAGCCCAGAGCCCGACGCGGGGCTCGAACTCACGGACCGCGAGATCGTGACCTGGCTGAAGTCGGACGCTTAACCGACTGCGCCACCCAGGCGCCCCGAAGCCACTTTTAAAGGAGGTGGGGGTCTTGGCTTTTCACTGCCATAAAGGCTACATGCTTTTGGCCAGAGGCTGCTGGTCATTCATTTACCAACCACCCTTCTCTTGAGCCTCCTCTCTTGCTGACTGACCCTGTACCCCGCAAGAGAGAGGTTAAAGGCGCCAGGTGCTGCCAGGGCTTGGGCCCAAGACCATATTTTGACCACTGAGATGTGAGAAGAAATCTGGAGCCTTCTAGAATGAGGAACCTTATAGAAAGGAGGAATGTTTCCTTTCTGCCTTTGGGGCTACATATGCACTGAGACCTCTACAGCACAGGGGGGGGGGGGGGGGGCCGTGTATGGGGGCAGCGCCGGCAGTGGGAGCAGCCGAGGGCAGGGTGGGAGGTGCCGAGGTCCTGGATGATGGCAGGGAGGGAGGGGGGTGGTGAGCCCTGCTCTGTTCCCCGCAGCCCAAATCATCCTAAGGAGCACAACATTCTTTCAGTTACGATGGAGATGCCTCAGAAAAAGCCCCAGGAGGTGCTTGCAAAGGCTCACACTATTTGCCATGAGGAGAATGCAAATTAAAATCAGAATGACATACCATCACGCACCAAGTGAAATGCCTGAAAGTCAAAAGCCTGACGATACCACGTATCGATCAAGATAGGGAGGAACTGGAATGCTCAGACATT